CTCACGAATCTCTCTGACGATGTCTTCTCATGAGCATTGGTTTCTCGCGGCGTTCGGGACTGCCCGGAAGTGTTGGGGGTGAGGTGCACCTGCCACAAACGACAGGACCGCCACCATCACCACCGGAACAATCACCATCAGCACCATCACCAACATTGCCCGCCAGTGGCAGCTGTGTGCGGCGGGGCGGCGCGCAGCGGCTACCGTCCGCCCTGCACACCCAGCAGTCATTCAGCGCACACACGGTATGCCAGTGCACGCCGGGTGGGGTCGGGCAGAGGCCGGGAGCGCCGTGCCTGCCCGGCACCTGTCCGGCAGAGCAGGGGCGCGGACAGCGGCCGAGCTGACCGCTGATCCGGCGGCGCGCGGACCGGACACGGGGTGGAGGAGCCCCGCCGGAGCCACCGGAGCTGGGAGCCCCGCCGGCAGCGTCGCGACAGCAGCGTGCAAACAGTTTGCTCTGCAAACCTCCGCCCCGTTTGTATACTCCCTCGATAGCGGCACGGATGGCGCGGCCGGCGCGTGGCCGCCGGCGCCGCTCAGAGTCCCCGGGCGCGACTCCGGGGCGCCGCAAGGCCACGGCTCCGGGCGCCGGGAGCGTGGCGCCGCGGCGCCCAGACGGAACGCCCCGGGCGCCGGTCATTGAGGGGGACCTCTGACCGCCGGCGGACCCCAGTCCCGCCGCGCAGTTCACCGACGGCGGAGCTGTCCGTATCCGCGGCGCCATCTCCCACTCTCGCCCAGTCGTGACACAGCCTGACCGGCCCGCTCGTCAACGGCGCATCTCCTGCCGACACGGCCGGCGCCACTTTCTTCACCGTGTCCAACACGGCCCAACTCGGCGCCGTGGAGCACGCTAAGCCGCTGCCCGGCCAGCCCAGGTCACGCCCCGTTTTCCGTCCCGGCCCGCGCTCGCCGGACCGAGTGCATGCTCACACTCCGAGCCGGATTATGTCGGGGATTAACCATCTGGTTCCTGGTGCCTGGCAGAGCCGAAAAACGGAGTCATCAGTCGATCTTGGAGACCTTAATGCGAGAGATTCTTTTGTTACATACCAGATGGCAGATACCATATCAAAAGTAAGTCGCACTTGCGCACACGGTTTGCCGATGGTACTCATCCTCCTTTTAAGATCATACGTCTGACATGGTGGAGCCTCCGCAGACTTTCCTGAGAAACGCACACAGTTACCACAGATCCACGCACTGTCTTAATCAAAGATGGGTCTCCTACCTCCTCCAACTGCAGCACTACCATGAGCAGCACACTGAGGTGCGCGCGACGCCGCCAAACGAGACCAGACCAGACCGGGCCGGGCCGAACCCTGCACAGCCGAGAGCGAGGTGAGAGCGGCCACTGATCCGCCGCTTACAAGCCGGATGTGGTGCGGCCCGGGCCGGCCCGGCTGCTCAGGTGCCAGCCGGCCGCTCTGGTAACGCTGCCCGGAGAGGATCCGCGCCGCTCGACCCGCCAGCAGCGCCGCGGCGCTGATCAGACGGACCAACTCTCCGAAGGACGGCCGCATGACATCCTAACCGCAGAGACTCCGAGCGAGCAAAAATGGCGCCAATGGCGGCTGTGCGGCGCGGCGCATCTGCAGCGGTCAGATAGCGATAACCTGTCCACATGGCGGACAGCGCTAAACACATCGACCCGAGCGGCCGAGATAGGCGCGCACCACGGACTGAGGAGGCAAATCCCGACTCTGTCAGAGCTCAGAGAGAGCACATTGGCATTCTGAGCTCCAGAACTGGATGTGGCTTGACCGATTCACGAAAATCCGATCAATACCCACTCCGGCATGATTTCAGTTCGTAGAAACTCAATGTAAAATTGACCAGCAGCCTCCATTCAGTAATTGCATTTAGCGGCTTTAACCTAGCTCCGGTTTCTTTAGAACCCAGAGTTGAGCGGTCGGAAACTAAGCCGCATACTTCGGCGAGCAGTGTAGGTAAAGAAACGTTTACCAAGTAGGTGACGGATGATTTTACATACCTCCCCTGACAGTAGGTAATTGGCCTTACGAATCATTAACCGTACGAGCTTATCTTACTGCACATGCGCTCCGTCATACTGGTTCGCTTTCAATGAGCCAATATTGACATAAAAGGTTGGCAATCACTGGCGGATTCAGAGGGCATTTAGGGGCATCAATAAAAACCAACAGTGGCCAATGGACATCACACGATATAACATGCAAACGCCAAACGACTGCGAACGAGCAGACGAGAAAGTCAACTATGAAGTGAGCAAGCTTTTCGAACTGAACTTCCCTTCTTGCGCAGCCGTCAGCCGCGCAGTCAGAGCCGGGAGCCCACAAGTGGGGCGGCGGCTTTAGCTGCCTGCCTACCTGACTACCTATACCGTCTAAAGCCGGGATTACATCCACACACTGAACCTATTGATACATGTTATGACAGATGCTGCCCGGATTTTACATACAGGTTCAGAGCTGGAGCGCATATGCAGCCCCAGCTTTGAGCTTTGGGTGGTTCTTGTTGTCACCTGACCAGCAAAGCCTGGTATCCACTACACAGATCTCCTTGGGCCCTTGGCGTTCTGAAGAGTGAAAAGTCAAAGATTGGAAAGCGAATATAACATCTCTTACAATGAACTGAAGTCTGTGAATGTACTGGAGCTCCACCAGAGCGGTTCTTAGGATCAGCATTCCTGGGCTTCAAATAAATCTGAGGTCAGCCTATCGGTAGATGTTCGCTGCCGATAGAAGCACGCGTAATCGCGACTCTGGGAGAGCGGCAGTATCTGTCGCCGCGGTATTTAGGACCAGTGATTCATCGTATCAATGTTCATTGTTCAACTCTCAGAGAACCTGTCGACCCTCCTCGATGGGGTCGAGGATGTGAGGGATTAGGCGTGGGGGAATCCGCAGTACACTTTTTCATTTTCTTTTCAAGAGATGTTGCTACGTTTCTTCACTATGACATCGCGGCGTTTCTCGACAGCCCGTGGTACGTAGCGCCGCTCACATTCACTCCATGAGGACCCGGGGCCACGTCACCCCCGTCCCCACGCCACAGCTGTGCACCAAAAAACGGCCGTACCTAGCGCACGTCACAGGTGGTGACGCGGCGGGTCACCCCCCCCCCCCCCGGGCCCGCTGCGGCGCCGGGCTGCCGGGCCGTGACGTCACCGTCTGGGATAAATAAACGGCCGGCGCTGCGGCGGCGCTATCGGGGTGTCCGGCAGAGCGAGGGCCGCCCGGCCGGTCGGCGCAGCGGCGGCCCGCCCGCCGCCCGCCCGGCCGGCCAGCCGCCAATAACGGAATTCCTGCGCACTGCCCGCCAGGGCTGGGCCTGAAAACCGGCCCAGCGCGACCGGAGCTGGGTGAAAACGGACAGGGACAGACCCACACGGGTCGCTGGTGACGAGTGGTACAGGCACACGACGAAACACAGTCGTTAGCGGCGGGTTCAGCCGGCACTTACCTCGCACGGTCCGTTATTGGCGACTGCTCCGACGTCCGTCCGACCCCGCTCAGCGCCGTGCGCGGCTGCCAGAGCCCCAGCGATGGACGATGGCTTTCTGCAGCGATCCCCACTCGCCGTCCATTCCCAGGCGCCGCGCGGCCGCGGTCGCCAACGCCAGCACTGTCTCGTCTGACCCTCCGGCCGTCCGTCTCGGGCGCGTCACCCCTCGAGCACCGCCGCTGTCACACAGACGGTACTCCACTCGCCCGGCCTGTTTGGATTTGTGACGTCATCGCCAGCGATTCGTTGAAGGTCGTTTGCCAGATCATCGATTCATCACGCTGCTAGCGACACCTGTCAAGGAAAGAATAAAGCTGAGCTTGGGTAGATGCCGCCACACAGCAGGCAATAACATAGAGGGCGGTCCACTCCACAGCAGGGTCCACATTTATTCGCTCTGGTTACCAAAACAATGCTGATTGCTGAATGTAGATTATTTGGCCTTACAATGCCAATAAGCTTGAGAAACATAGGGGCGCAACTCAATATTCATGAGGGGTGTTCACGGGCACCGCACACTGCTGCGTGCGGTGTGTGCGGTGCGTCCAGCAGGCGTGGGGGTAGGGGATGGGTAGGCGGCTCTGACGTCACGGCTGCGTGCGGTGGACGGTCCGCTGTGGCCAGTCCCGACCGGCCACAGCGGTCGCTGTGTGCGGTGACGGAAGGCTGACGTAGGGACGCAGTGGGCGGAGCTTGGACCCTGTGTGCGGTCCGACCGCACACAGGGTCCGTGAACAGCCCTAGGGTCCAAAGCTGTAACCCCTCCTTATTGACCTTTGACAGGCACAGACAAAAATAGCAATTAGCAATAAATAAGCTTCACTTTCTCTTTAAGAATATGACCATATTTTTGGCTATATCAATTAGAATCTTAATTCTGCACATGCACCACAGTCCTGCTGAAGTTCTACTCAAGAAAATTGCGAATGCTGCTTACGCGGATCCCTGGTTCACTACAAGAATACTCGTGGCTTTCAATGAGATTACAATTACAATCGTAAACGTGATTGTAATTGAAATTGCTCATGAGTAATGCAGAATGAATCAATCTAATGATGTGTGAACCAGATTTAACATCACCAGGGCCAACCGGCATTCGTGATTGTTGTAATACATGATACATGATACATGATACATGAGATTATACAGTCCCAAAATGTACTGAACTCAATGTATGTAAAAATGACTGAAATGAGGCCATTCCTAATCTATACGCTTCCAACAGGCAACATTCTATTTTCTCACTTCTCAATCTTGATCTTGATTGCCTTGATCTTTCCCCAAGTCAAAAAAGCAAGTCGAAGACGATTGTGTTCAACATAATCGGCGCAGGGGTAAAAAGGCGCTGTTCATCTGCTTGCTTAGGAAGATTTGATAGATTTGATTGGTCGATATAAGAAGGTCGTCATCAAACATCCTCAAGGACAAATTTTAGAACATCTTTATTGTGACAACTGCGCCAGATATGCAGGAAGCTGTCGCTGGCACAATATTGATATCGAGGGCTTGCGGCTTGGATATTGCTAATATCGCTCAGTGTTTTTATATACAATTGATATTGATTATTGTTGTAGAAAATGGGGTGAAAAGTGGGGATTCTGAGGACAAATACCTTGAGGAAGTTCCTTCAGCTTTCATGAACAGGAAGAAGTGCAATGCTTTGTAACCAGTAGGTAGGTACCTAGTTTCCATCTTGATCTAGTTACCTACCTACTAACCTGCAACCAGAAATTCAAGATTGAGGCAAAAGGAAGGCTTGACATTTTTGACAGCGCTGCATAGATCACCTCAGGTATGTGTCTATAATTTTGAACTTTGATCCTAGTGAGTTTTTATTTATTAAAATCATTAGCGTCGCCACGGGGGGCAAGCGGGGCAGCTTGCCCCCCCAACCTCGGACGATCTCAGGGAATCGATACAGATTCGATGAGATTTTGGAGTCGGGAAAAATGGGGGTACCTTTCTGAGAATGTCTGTGACTTGTGAGGCCAGACTCGGCTGGAGCGTGCAGTTTAAATCAGAGTCTGACTCGCAGTCGCCAAAATCTTCAAAACTCCGAGTCCAGACCCGGAAATGTCAATGCTGTGATTCATTTCATGTTCCTAGTTCGTTCTTTATTACATTTTACAGCTGATTTTCATAAGTTTTGGATTGCTGACACAATTTTCGCTCAAAGCGTGAAACGAAATCTTCGGGGCCTTTCTCAACTCTCGTCAAATGTCTGCGACAGGCTCAATTACCGTACAAGTGTCGCAGGGCTCATGAGCCTGCTTTAAACAAAGGCTCCTAAGGAGCTCCACTGAGCCCTAAAGAAGCTTTCAGAGGGCCCAAACGGGCCTCTGAAAATCCCACTGGTGTCCATGTTCTCTGAGGGCCCATACAGGGATCTTTGAGCCTTCGAACATTTCCGAGAACCTTACCTGGCCTCTGATAGTTCAGCCAAACTTTTGAGGTGACAGACTTTGCTAACCCCAAGCCGGCATATCTGAGGGGTTACAGCTCACGTGTCACTCTGAGGTCCGCAACACATGTTTATTATGTCCCTACGTAAGGTCCTTAGGGATTCGACACAGACCCCGAGGGTTCACACTGTTATCCGAGGGCTCCAGGCTCACCCTGGGCCTGGTCTCTTAGCTCCCGCCGCCCACACTGGCTTCTGAGGGCCCCACCTTGGGCTCGGAAAGCCCTAAAGCACCACGTACACGTAAATATTTGAGGTGACCCACGCCGATCTCCGGGATCCTAAGCATGCTTCTGAGAGTCAGCACTGACCCTGAGTGGCCTGAAATGGCCTGGAAGTCCCAAACCTATCTCTAAGGGATCCCTTGCCGCTATGCCGTGCGTAACTTTTGGTTCCGTTTAACATTTTTTGTTCGCGTTTGCAGCGCTTCCCTTCACACGAAAAACGAGAAACTTTTGTTCACACTCGAGTGAACAAAACACTTCCTCTCACTTGAGCAAAAATGAATTACTTCCGATTGTCACTTCCGACATTCACTCTCCGCCGAATGCCCAACTTAGCTACGATCGGTGGCTGGGATAGGTCCTATGCATTTCACGTAAAACCTCTGCATGCATGCGTGAATGGAGGTTTTAGCAGGGTGATCCGATTAAATGGAGCGTTTTTCATCTTTTTCTGGGTAATGATCATGAGCGTCGAGCGTCTACACAGGGGCCCACTGCAGTGCGTCCGCAATCGCAGCCACTATATACTATAATTCTACCAGTCGTTTTTGTCATGAAATTTCAAAATTTCGAATTTTTCTGTAAAAAAAAAAATACATGTCATAGCTAGAAGAAAACCTTTGTCACCATCGGATTCCTCGCACCATTGCGCGTCGAATGATATGTAAAACGAGTGAGTAAAGACTGGGGAAAGGCAAGTTTTAACACAAAAGTTGATTTTGCCCCCCCCTCCCCAACCGAAAATCTCTGGCGACGCCTATGATTAAAATAACTCAATTTTGATATGCAATGGATGTACCTACTATTTTTTGGATTCTGTCTGAATAAATCAGTGGGCACCGATAGACTGAAATCTGAAAACAAGGTGCCTGGGGAGAGTCTTTTCTCCGAGACGGTGCTCCAGTGGGTGCCAGGCCATGCCGGGCTGGACGGCAACGAGACCGCCGACCGCCTGGCTGGCGAGGCCACGGCGGGCGACCAAGACAGCGCACCGATCGACCTGTCGAGTGCGCGGGCCGCCGTCACGCGCCATGTCCGGGAGCTGTCGCGACGGAGGGCAACCGCTGCCCACCCGCACCCGGACCCCACGCCTGGCCACGACTCCCTGGCGCGCTGGGGGTCGGTGACGCTGTCCCAGCTGAGGACCGGCACATCACCGCTGACCCGCGACACGCTCTACAAGATTGGCCTGGCAGCCGACGACGAATGCTCCGCGTGCGGGGAGCCCGACAGCGTGGCGCACCTTCTGACCGATTGTCCGGCCTATGAGGCGGCCCGCCGCCGCCGCTGGGGTGTCGCCCCTCGCCTGGTCGACGTCCTCGGCGGCCCGGCGGCGAAGGTCGTCGCCTTCATCGAGGATGTCGGGCGGACCGAGCCGCCGCTCGACCCGCCTGCGCCGCCGCCCCCCTGAGTGGGTTGGCGGTGGGATGCAGGAGAAGAAGAAGAAGAGTTGATCAAGGCTTTTGAACTTGTCACGTGACAACCCATTGCAGGCCAGACTGAAAAAAATACACGTCATGCCGAATATGTCCGGCGCAGTGGCGGGATTGTGCTGAAAATTTCAGCGCACGTCCGGCGCAACTTCGCATGCGCCGAATTGAGCGCATGGCGGCGGGTGAATTTTTTTGGCGCAGGGCAGTCGCATAATGTTTTGGCGAAATACAATCACCAAATTTATGCGGTTTTTACATGTAAAAGTTCCTTATCCTGTATCTTTGTTCATTTCTACCCATAGACCATCAACCCCTGGACAACCTCTGGAACAGTATTGGCTCACACTGCTGTGATATCTAGCTGGTTTGGCGAGCTCTGACCTGGTTTTCTGTCCCCAGTGGTGTACTGACAACTGTGTGACATAGGCAGTATGTACTGCTGGGGTGGCACGGTCAGTGGTGAGCTGGGACTTGGCGGCATTGAGGAGCAGCAAGTGCGCACTCCTCGCCACCTGGCCACCCTGCCGGCCGGTACTCAGATTGTCCAGGGTAGGTCGGTCCTTGCAGACACTCAAATTGGACCTGGTGGCTGCACCATACCTGAGCGTCAAGTTATCAAAGTGTCTTAATTTAAAATGAATCTGAAGTGTTGGTTGTCACAGTAGCATGGTTTTCTTGTGAGATGTGTGATTCCATTTTTGTCAGACTGTGTGAGATTTATCACGTTTCATATCAGTAAGTTAGTATGCCGATATGACCAGCTGAGGCCGACAGTGTATGTCTGCGTGCTGCAGTGGCCTGCGGATACAACCATACGGTGTTCTTATCGGCTGAGGGGTCCGTCTTCACGTGCGGCAACAATGAGCGCGGTCAGCTGGGTCACAGCGGACAGACCACGCGGCCAGGTACCGTCCAAAGTCCACCAGCGGGCGGCAGCATCTGACCACCCGCCACCGTCAATATCTACCGTTAAATTTCCGGTGTACGATTTTAACCGGCTGGTAGCGTGTGAATCGGACGTTTTGTAAAACGTTAAAGTCTGGTATTGTATAGGTACCTATCGTTATGCCCTTAGGCTTGTTAAGTGTCATTGCTAGTGTTGCAGAAGATCAGGATGCTGATTGCTGACAAATCATTTGCATGACACGTGTAATTGTGTAAAGCAGCTAACACACTCATAAGCCCAGCAGATGGTGAACCATGCGTAGGCACTGTGCCTCACCAGAGCCGCGCTGTGGCCGTGTGTTCTGCTCGCCGCTCCGCAGTGCTGCTGGAGAGGCTGGAAAACTACCCGGTGGCGCAGGTGGCCGCCGGGGATCAGTTCTCACTGGCAGTCACCCGCTGGGGAGGGCTATTCTCCTGGGGTGACAACCGGCATGGGCAGCTCGGTAAGGAGGATGAGCGCAGAACTGAGCTGAGGGGCGACAGTCGACACGGACAGTTCAGTAAGGGGGAGGCCGGGGGAGGACAACTGTTAAAACTATGCTTCTTATTGTTATAATAATCGGTGGTAGGTGCTAAAGTTAAGTTAGTCATGGGTGAGGGGGGTGTGGGGCGTGCAATTTTTATAGACATTACATTCATTGAATCGTGTTTAATTTTCGTTCCCTCGCCCTGAACAACACGTTTTCTTTCTCTATCACTGTGCCCCAGCCCAGCTGAGCGACCTGTGTCCGTCTCTGTCCCGCAGGCACCGGCGACCCGACCGAGTTTATCCAGCGGCCGCGCCAGCTGAGGGCGCTCGTCTCCAAACGGGTGGTACAGGCTGCCTGCGGACAGGCGCACTGCCTCGTCCTGACAGACGGTAGGACTCGTACCGGAGGCGGGTCTGCGCTCAGACTGGGTGCCGTGGGACTGCGTGCTGATGTTTCCATCCATTAATTAGTCCTCAGCAAAAAATGTCATCAATACTTACATTGAAATAGCTTGTAAAGTAAATGCAAGAGTAAAACGGTTGGCTCTCTAACACAGTCTGAAGAACAGTTTCCCCGCTGAACACACGTCCACCCCTGTGCCGACAGACGCCGGCTGAACTTCAGTTTGCCGCCTCTGCCGACAGATGGCGAGCTGCTGTCGTGGGGCTCCAACGAGCACGGCCAGCTGGGCCAGGGCACGCTGGGCGGCCCTCCCGTCTCCCAACCCCGCCTGGTGGCCGCGCTGGCCGGCCTGCCGCTCGGCCGCGTGGTCTGCGGCGGCCACCACTGCCTGGCCGTCACCAAGTGCGGCCGCGTGCTCGGCTGGGGACGGAACGCGCTGCACCAGCTCGGTCTGAGCAGCGAGCAGGACCAGCCGACGCCGGTGGCCATCCGCGGCCTGGGCACGCAGCGCGTGCGACACGTGGCCGCCGGCGAGAACCACTCGGCGGCGCTGACGCGCGAGGGCGCCGTGTTCACGTTCGGCGCCGGCGTGTACGGCCAGTTGGGGCACGGCGGGAAGACGAACGAGGTGCACCCGCGCCAGGTGATCGAGCTGATGGGCAGTGCCGTGTCGCAGCTGATCTGCGGCCGCCAGCACACGCTGGCCTACGTGTCGGCCGGCGGCGCGGCCGGCGGGAAGGTGGTGGCGTTCGGACTGGGCGGCTCAGGTCAGCTGGGGGTGCCGGACACTCCGCTGGCGCGCACGCCGGTGACTGTGGCCGGGCCGTGGACACGGACTGCAGAGGGGACCGGCAGTGAGGACGGGCCGGGCGGCGGTGGGCCGCTGCGGCTCTTCTGCGGCGGCCACCAGAGTTTCGCGGTGCGTCTGCCCGGCTCACCGGACTCGGCCGAGGCGTGTGACGACCGCCAGTGGCCGGCCGGCTCCCAGATCCTAGAGCTGACCGCGCCGCAGGCGGACGCCATCCGCGAGGCGGCGCGCTCCAGTTCCTCGGGCTCAGAGTCCGACTGTGAGCGGCGCGACCGGCTGCTACAGTTCGCCGAGACGGCGCTCGGCAGCGTGGCATGTCTGAGCGGCTCGTTCCTTCCGGCCGGTCCGCGGCACGTCTGCACCTCGCTGCAGCCCAACCTGGACCTGTCCGCCTGCCAGCGCGCCATGCAGACCCTGTACGGCGTCACCAGCGAGCCGTTCGCCGAGGTGGTGCACGCGCGGCTGGCGGCGGTGCCGGCCGCGCTGCCGCCGCGGCCCGCCGACCCGGAGGCGCTGCGCGCGCTGCTGGTGCTGCTCTGCTGGCCGGGCCTGGAGCAGCTGGCGCAGCCTCTCGGGGACGCGCTGCTGGCCGTCTCGGAGCTGGACTGGGCCGTGCTGAGCGGCTGGCTGCGGCAGCTGCCGGCGCCGCCACTGCTGGCCACCATCGGCGTCTTCAAGGCGACCGTGCTGCGGCTGATAAAGCGCGCCGACACGCTGACGCAGTGTTCGGACGGCAGCTGGCGGCTGGGCGGCCGGCTGCAGGCCACGCTGCGCGTGCTGCGCCGGCTGCACGGCGCGCTGCTGGAGCAGCCGAGGGGCCCGGCGGCGGGCCGCGGCCGGCCGGCGCTGGCCGTCACCCCGACCACTACCCCGGCCACCACCCCCACCGGCGCCGGGCCCGGGCCGCCGTCCGGCGCCGTCACCGACGAGTCGTTCTACATGCCCGAGCTGACCGACCTGGTGAGCGTGCCGCTCGACTACGTGGGCTGGCAGCTGGCGTCGGGCGGCGCCGGCGGCGACCGCTACTTCTGCCACTTCCCGTTTGTGTTCGACGCAGCGGCCAAGACGCAGCTGCTGCAGACGGACGCGCTGCTACAGATGCGCTCGGCCATGGAGCTGGCGGCGCACCAGCAGGTGGCGGCGCTGCTGACGGGCCGCGTCAGCAGCGGACAGTTCCTGCAGCTCACCGTCAGCCGCCGCCGGCTGGTCGAGGACACCCTCCAGCAGCTGTGGCAGCTGACACAGGACGACCTCAAGAAGCCGCTGCGGGTCCGCTTCGAGGGCGAGGAGGGAGAGGACGCAGGCGGCGTGCGCAAGGAGTTCTTCTTAGTGCTGACTCGGGAGCTGCTCGACCCCAAGTACGGCATGTTTAGTGAGTTTGGCGAGACCAACACCATCTGGTTCAACCCGGACTCGCTGGAGGAGGACGTCATGTACCTGCTGATCGGCATCGTCTGCGGCCTGGCCATCTACAACAGCACCATCGTCAACCTGCCCTTCCCGCTGGCGCTCTACCGCAAGCTGCTCGACCAGCCGCTCTCGCTGGACGACCTGGCCGGCCTCTCTCCGATGACGGCTCGCTCTCTCTCGGACGTCCTCAGCTATACAGGAGATGACCTCGAGGAGACCATGTGTCTGACGTTCGAGGTCACCCGCGAGACGTTCGGACACGTGCAGACCATCGAGCTGAAGCCGGGCGGCTCGAAAATCGCCGTCAACCAGTCCAACAAACACGAGTACGTCGACCTGTACATCGACCACATGCTCAACACGTCCATCCGGAAGCAGTACCACGCGTTCCACGAGGGCTTCTACAAGGTTTGCGGCTCCAAGGTGCTGCAGCTGTTCACGGCGCCGGAGCTCATGACGCTCGTCATCGGAGACGAAAACTACGACTGGCAGGCGTTCGAGCAGAACGCCGAGTACCGCGAGGGCTACCAGAGAGACTCGCCGCCCGTGAAGCTCTTCTGGCAGGTGAGTCGAGCGGAGCAGCTGCGGGGGAGGGCTAGGGAACGGGTGGGCCCTGGTAGCGGGGAGCCGAGCTAGTGGGCCCTAAACGGGTGGCCTAGCCGGGCAGGTGTTAATAGGGATGTGCTGAGGGACATACTGGGCACACATACTATGACGTGTTCATGACTGGGTTGCCCGAGTTTCGGCTTAGTATCTTGTCAATATAGCGCTCCTTGAGGCGTCTTGTTATTCCGTGCCTAGCTATCCTGCGGTCCCGAGGCTCACATTTATCCTTTTTGGCGTGCATTTGTTGGAAACTGGGCATAATAACTATTCTGAGCGACCTTCCAAGTTTGGCTACGTACGAATGTCCAAAGTCCAAGTATGTCCAAGTACGAATGAATAAATTATCAGATCAGCTCTACCGGAAACGGTGCCTCGTGTCTTATATTTAATGTGAACTTTCTAAATTCCTAAATGAGTTCCTAAAAATAAAAATCTAAATGAGTGTGCGGCATAATGTCTCGTTATTAAGATTTTAGCGCTCAAACATCATTCGGAGGTGTTGCATGCTAACCGAGGACCGGTCACGCCGCTACGGTCGCCTGTGCCATCAAATGACACACTCATTCGTCAGGAGCTGGACTATTGCTGGACAAATGTGCGTGTCATGAACTTCTACACAACTGTAGGTACGCTCGCCAATCGCGGTCCGCCCAACTTTGCAGCGTGGTCTGTCGCGGGAACGCGCGGCCTACCGATGTATTGACTACTTCGTGTCGTTGCCGGTCTTACATGGAGAACTGCACCACAGTGGGTCGTTGATTTTTGCCAGAGGTCGTTACGTAGACACTGGCAGAAGCCAATGGCCCGCCAAAGTCCCATGATCACAGGACTGGCCATTTTGTCCATGTAGGCTACGATACAAGCCCTGCTTCAGAATGGGTACTCAGAACCGGCCAATCTAGTGTTCATATTGTCGCAGTCGACGCTAATGTTACCCTCCACATCCAACTCATCGGTCAAATGTCCCTACGGGCTCGGTGAATACTTTGCGACATTTGCATTCAATAGCTTTCATTCATTATTTATAATATGCTATGAACAGCGGATTTCCAAACCAACGCGTCCCATTCGGAGCCATTGTTGTTGTTTTTTTTTCTAATGCTTAGTAAAGGACCACTAGTTGATTTGTGTTGTGTTGGAGGGGTGAGCAAACAAAGCCTGCTAAGGCAGTATTAGTCCATATTAATAACCTTTTCCCTGGGCTGCCTGAATAGTTACCGTGCACGGAAATTTATCGGCAGTAATGACTGATTGACTTCCGATGAATCACCGTTAATACCCATATCATGCCGGAAAGCATCAGTATAATCACACATCGAGTGTCGAGCGGCATATGCAAGTGGTCCGGTATTTCAATAATAAACAAGGAAACGGTATCGCCGATGCCGCAAATGGGGCGACTGAACAGTGATCAGGATTCAGGGGATAGTTTGTATGCTTACCATACCATAATGATCGATCTGTGAACTCTAAATAAGCACTCGCCTTACGATAGATGCTTCCAGTCTTTACAGAGTGTAGGTTCTAACTTCACATCTGCATCATTTAATAATCGTCTCCATGCGATGCAGTGTGCGTGCTTAGTGCCCTCCTGGCGTGACCCATGCAGATTGGATGCTGTTTGGCGATCGTGGTGATAAATCCAGAGTACAAATATCAGTTGACGTGTCGCGTGCCGTTCTGCCGAAACGTGGTGCTGAATGACAGCGGCCTAACAGCATAGGAACTTTTTATCTGCGCTGCTGCATATTACAATGAATCGAGGGTAATTTACACTGCTTCATCTTCTGTATAATAGATGTTTGTTCCATTGGAAACCTGGCTGTGTATCAGAGACGCTCAACGTTCGGCATTGATGGGCCCGGCATTCATCCGTGATTTGCGATTGATGCTCCACAGTCTCAGTCCCGTCTCGTTCCCTCCCTCCCCGCCCTCATCCCCCTGCTGACCGCGGTGCCGCCCCTCGGTCAGGTGTTCCACTCGCTGACGCTGCAGCAGAAGAAGCAGTTCCTGCTCTTCCTGACCGGCACCGACCGCGTTCCCATCACCGGCATGAAGTCCATCAAGCTGTACATCCAGCCGGCGCGCGGAGGCGACACCTTCCTACCTGTGGCGCACACCTGTTTCAACCTGCTCGACCTGCCAGAGTACGCGACGGCCGAAAAACTGCGCTACAAACTGCTGCAGGCCATTCAGTGCACCGAGGGGTTCGGACTCGTGTAGCGCACCGCGACTGTGGGCAGGTGAGTCGCTGAGTCGGTGAGATTGTGAGTCAGTGACTCGCTGAATCAGTGAGTCATTGTGAGTCGGTTAGCGGGACTAGCGGTGGCCGGGGTCCCCGCTCAGGTAGCCGGCCCGTGTCTCGTTCGAGCCGGCACAGTTGTCTCTGCGTGCCGCGTTCGAGCTGGCGTGGCCTACAGCCGTCACTACTGCTGGTGACGCCAGAGGCGGTGCTGGTGGTGACTGGTGTCGGTGTTGGTGCACACAGTGGAGTGTGTACTCGGCACCATTTAGAGCTTCAGTCCTGGCTACCTCAGTACGGCAGTATAGTGAATCAGAGATGTGCATAGGCCTTGTCCGCCTTATGTGTAATGCCAAAGCACAGCCAGTAGGAAGACACATTTTGAGCAAGCCGATCCGAACTATATTTACTCAAACCAAACGGTTGCTGATTATCACTCATATTTTATTCATTTTTATGGTAAATTTGTGTGTCGTGCCTTTGCTGAGGGTGTATGACCCATCATCGTTTACGTTCCCTCCACAAACTAAATGCAGAGTGGGTGTGAGATGCAGTGCAGCTGCTGGTAACTAGCCAGAAGCTATTAACTAACGCGAGACTGGTTTAGTGACAATGTCAGAAGATAGTGTGTTATAGTGTCCGCGGTATGACGTTTTCACTGTGTGCATTTTCAGTCTTGCTCATCCGTTATGAACTGCCGATTTGCATGGGAATGGGTCGTGATGTATCTAATCAGTGATGTTCCAAAGCCCGCACGTAAAGGCTTCTCTCGAGTTTCGAGAAACTCCTGTCATTTGGCAGTTACTTGTTATGATGAATGGTCAACACACATTACTTGGCTTTCAGCTGCCGCGTTTCAAAACATGCGAACTCTCATTACAAGCGTTCTTTATACTCAGTGAATAATTGTTCCGTATTTTTGCAATACTGGTGAGACCGATGATCGATTGTGCCGGGATTTGGCCTTATCTTGCACTGTCGCATGGTCGAGTGATATCGGGAAGTTTGCCCTTCCGCAGAGCAGAAGGGAAAGCGGTATCCGACTGTACGGGCGGCGCAGCGCAGCGTACTGCGTGGTGCTTTCTACATGACAAAGGACAGTGACGTTATGAGGCCGCAGCTTAGCGCTGTTGCCTCCTACCCGGTGCCTACTCTCTGTGGTGCTGTGTGTGGCGCCGTGTGTGACGCCGTGTAACGCCGTGTGGTGCCGTGTGAGGCCGTGCAACGCCGTGTGGTGCCGTGTGAGGCCGTGTAACGCCGTGTAATGCCGTGTGAGGCCAGGAGAGGCCAGTGATACCCTGTGTTGTGTCGTGCGATGCAGCTGGATAACCGATAACCGTGTTCTCAGAAGGGCTTCCCAGAGACAGTCGTAACCCGTCCAGACGCTGCCTCGAGCCGCCATCAAACGGGACGCCGTACTCACAGCGGCGCTATGTGCACGGGTGTACGTGAGGTCTCAGCACCGAGCTAATCTATGCGGAAACTGCCGTGTGATTTTATCCCTGCCCTGGCCGCTACATTTGCTTCATTGGAGCCTGTTGGTTGCCAAGCACTCTTGGCCGGTAGAGTAGTTTAGTCATTGCAGCATGTCAGCGACATATCAAAATCCGAGTGCCGCAATCATGTTATCGCTCGTGTGGGTTGCACTGTATTTGAGTTTAGCCTATTGTGGTACTAAATAACGTGGTCAGTGATCGTGTTTATGGCGCTTCGTGTATTGCTCTGCTATCACCTCGCCTGAGTCTCGGTGCCAGCAGATACGCCTGGTGCGCACACGTTTGGTGAGTGTCTCACCGGTCGGTGAGAGTGTGAGCTTCTGACGGCTGCTGTGATGTGCTCACCGTCAGAGTGGGACGGACCCGGCCACGGGACGGTGGTGTGCCCCGGTCCGCGCCGACCGCCCGCGGCCTGCTGTCACCGTCCGGTTGTTTATGTTCGGCAGTGAATTAGTGATATAATAGCCTGGACCGCCGGACTGTTCAATACACAACTGGTATCGAACCGAACGTGTCAGCGAATCAGAATGGGTGGACAACAGAGGGTGTATGAAAGTGGTTCCTGAGTGTTTTCAGGCTACGCAGGAAACCGCTTGACTTATTTTTGGTTTCAACTTTGACTTTTAATCAGATGATAGCAATGCAAAGGCTGCGACATTTCGTGTCACGAGTTTCCCACCAGCTAAATATCTGGTTATCCAACCAATTCAACGTCTGTAAAACATAAACGTTTGTGATCCTGCGCTGCTTGTAGCTGAAAGGTTATAAGCACCGAGTAATTACATCGAGTTCAGCGCACCCAGCTCCAGTGTTCCAATGCGCTCAGCTGCCCCTGCACGGTTCGTCGGAAGGTCATCTCAGGCTCAAAAGAAACGGTATAGACCATTCGAAAGCTGACGGTGAGCTGAATCCAAAAATGTAATTTTTATCAAAATCGATCGATGGCCTTTTTTGAAAATTGCTTTTTTGTAAAAACTTTATAATTTTTTATTCAACGGGCTGTCCCGGGTATTCTTAAAAACATAAACATGTTTTTTCGAGTTCCAGTGAAAGCTGAACGCCAAAAGAACAATATTTAGCGAAGCAATATTTCCCAACATTAATATGCGTCTCCCACAGCAGACAATAGGGCGCAATCACACAGCTCAGTGTCACGATGGACCAAAGTCGGCCAAACAGAAGCGTGAGATGACCCTTATCGACTCGCAGACCCGGCGCTCTCGGCCCGCCTGACCAGCCACGGAAAGAACGTTCGGCTCTCGTTCTACTAAATAAATGTTATAATTGTCAGTTTAACTGTCCACATCGCTATTAAAGTTATTCAGGATACCTGTGAGGAAAATTCATTGTTCTGCTTGATTTATAACATGCTTTAATTTACATTTTTCTTATACATGTTTTGTTCCATCCAGCTGCGCTCAGTGCCCGCGCAGGTGAAGTGAGCGGGGTTTCACTGTCAGAGGCTGTACTGGTAACAGCTGCTCGGCCGTGCGACCGGTCAAAGGTTACCCAGCCCCACCGGGCGCTACCCCCACTCCACCCAAGCTGAGGCCGGTGCAACCTCTGACATTTCAACGCGGCCAATTTTCCTTATATGGGCATGATACCAAGCTCCATTGAGCAAAGTAGACATGAACAAATGCAAATTGATGCATGATGTGAAGATGACCGAGCAATGAATCTTCTGCTCATGTATCCTGAATAACTCAAGTACCGACTTGAATCGTTAAACTAACAAATATGACGCCCGTTTAGTAGAACGACAGCCGAACCTCCTTGCCGTGGCCGGTCAGGCGGGCCGAGAGCGCCGGGTCTGCGAGTCGATAAGGGTCATTTCACGCTTCTGTGTGGCCGACTTTGGTCCATCGTGACACTGAGCTGTGTGATTGCGCCTTATTGTCGGCTGTGTGAGACGCATATTAATGTTAGGAAATATTGCTTCGCTAAATATTGTTCTTTTGGCGTTCAGCTTTCACTGGAACTCAAAAATACATGTTTATGTTTTCAAGAATGTCCGGGACAGCCCGTTGAATAAAAAACTATAAAGTTTTTACAAAAACGCGATTTTCAAAAAAGGCCATCGATCGATTTTGATAAAAATTACATTTTTGGATTCAGCTCACCGTCAGCTTTCGAATGATATATATCGTTTCTTTTGAGCCTGAGATGACCTTCCGACGAACCGTGCCTGCGTTCCGCCACTCGCCACCTCTCTGCACCTCCAGCTCCGCCGCGGCTGAATTCACCTGCGGGGGTAGGCAGCCCGCAGTGGTCCGGTGTCGTGCGGGACAGCCTACCCGGTCAGGCACGCCAGCCGGCTCTGAGCGCGTCCTGCCGGGCTGCTCTTTGTAAACGTTATATCGGTTCAATGCTGGTAGTTTGACCGCTGACCGAGCCGGCCGGCCGTCGGGCGTGAATTACTGAGTATTTTGATGGTTTTGGAATGACTCATTCCATACGGCTGGAAATCGCTATGGGTGATATTTTTAGCATTCGTGGGTACTTGTTTGATTTTCATCATCCTTCTTTTTTTACCTCAATCGTTGCTTTTTAATTATTGCCCTTTAACAACATTCAGGTTCAGCCGGGCCAGAGAAGAATTTATTGGACCAGGTTAGCCAAGTCGAACCAAATGACCCTCACATTGCGTCGCTCGGACTCACGTCCCCCGAGCAGACTGTGTACCCATGTTCTCCGCGAGCCTTTTCAGACTTGTACTTGTTGATGTACGTACATCAAGACAGCACTTAGTTGTACTTGTTGGGTTAGGGCGCATAGCCTCGTCGGGCCGGGCTTAAGCGTCCGTAGTTGTTGTCATCAGTGCGCCATTCTTGTCTCGATCGAGTAAATGTTGCAGTCGGTTGCAGCCAGATGGTTCAGAGGGAAACTAAGCAGATGAAGGAAAATGATAGGTTTGGCATGGGTTTATATTCGGGCTTTGGATGACGTCCAGGCAATAAATGTCCGGTGGAGTACCTATAATTTGTGAGTTAGTTTCTTGCACAGAACTGATAAAAAACTTAAAAATTAAGAAATAGAAAAGATTGTTTCTGGTTATTGAGTCATTCAATCATTAACGTTCTTGACCTCGCATCTGTCCAGCGAGCCATTCAGTTCAAATAGATCTTCAGGCAACGTCTGCTCTTGGTACCTCACTCCACTCAGATATCAACTTGCGTTGGAAGTTTCATGTCTCATGATCATACCGAACCTCTACTTCGGAACTATGTGACTGCTTCTACAAAAGAAGGGACCGGATCGTACAAAAGATAAACGAAGGTATACGTTCAAGAGAAATATAAAAAACTACAGAAGCAAACCAGTAGGGTAAGGCGCCTAATTAGCGACTCTTTCCTATTTGCGACCTACCTCTCTACAGAAAAACTGGCAGGAGAAAACGGGGTAAAAACGTGATACATCCGGGAGCGAAAGAGAGAGAGAGAGAGAGAGAGAGAGAGAGAGAGAGAGATAGAGAGAGAAAGAGAGAGAGAGAAAGAGAGAGAGAGAGAGAGAGAGAGAGAGAGAGAGGAGAGATAGAGAGAGATACAGAGGCATGGATACAGACATAATGCGTACCTGTGGTTAGTGAGGGACTCTACTGGAAACGGCTCGAACATCTGCGGATGGACCGAAGCAGTATGGAATATTTAAACTATGTATTACTAATTACAATGCATTATCTAAGGCATTTTATGCTAATTGAATGAGTTCTTTTAGAATCAATATACGACAGTCGCACAGAGAGCGATAAGGGAACTGTCACCATCAACCTTCACCGACCGATAGCGTAATGGTCGCTCGGCAAACCCCGGTGGGTTGTAATCATCTCCAGCCGATTGAACTTGCCAGTCCCGGTGCGGAATCAGACGGGCCACTTGTGGAAGCTTCCTCAGTAAATGGCACGGATGGACCGAATAGGTCAGCCCATTTAATTCTGTGACGAAATTAATTGATGACCGGTATTGCTGCTAGAATAATCAGGGGTCGGCAAATGGTGGGGCATGCCCCCTTTGGGGGTAATGGAGCCCTTTCGGTGGGGGTAATGAGGGATTCTGAGAAAGCCTATCTTTTTAGAGTTTGTAGCTCCAGTGTTGGAGCCATCGTGACTGTTGCATCCCAGGGTTCAAAGATTAGCCCAGGCCAAAGGCACAGCACACATTGATTAGATACCAATTTTCATGTACCTGCTCGCCTCACCATCTCACCCCTCCGTACAGTCGTACAAAAGCAGCTGCAACTTTTAACCGTCGCCCGTCTGTTGGCGTTTCAACAGCCGCTAACGTAAGGGGGAGGAGTCGATCGGACCCCCGCGGCCTCTCGGACTCTGAGATGGAGCTGTGCATAAAAAAGACGAGCGTGCTACCCGTGACAAAAGGAAGCCGCTGCTGCCCATTTTTTAAGGTCCTTGGTCATTTCGTCTCATTCAGGAGGTCAAAAGACAAGTGTCGAGAAAATCGGGACCCGCTATAACTTGTTGAAGTGAGATTTTATGGCTCAAGATGATCTCCAGAAAAAGCTCATAAGCCAACGGTCATTATGGGTCCAGAGGCCAGTTTCACCAACAGAAAAATAGCGGCCTGCCGGAATTTTTGCCTAAAGATCGTTTCACATATGGAGCGTAAACGGTAAAGCCCTATCCGCTTACGAGCCCATCACGTTTACGCTCCGTATGTGAAGCGGTCTTGAGGCAAAAATTCCGGCAGGCGGTTATTTTTCTGTTGGTAAAACTGGTCTCAGGTCATGATATTTTCCGGGCTGGTAAAAAAAAAAAAAATGATGAGCTCGAGAGTACAATTTGGTCGTGATCGAATGCCTTTTACGTGAGCTTTTAACGAAAAACCACCCGCCGCCCCTATACGTACAAAGGTTAAATGGGATATAGCATAGGCGGCGGAACGGGGAGGGCACCGGGGCACCGTGCCCCCTTTGATTTTTGCATTTTAACATTAGCCCTATGGGCGTTGCATGGAAAGAATGGGACCAAAAATCGGCAGTGCCCCCCCCCCTCCCCCTTCATTGAAGGTGTCCACCGCTACTGGGATGTAGGTATTAAATGTTTTGTGGAGGAAGTGTCATGTTTTAAATTTGATGCATTGGAAATGCACAAATACCCAAAGAGTTCCAGGACGGTATGGAATTTCAGTAAACTTGGTTGTGTCAGCAATGGGGTCTGGTAGGTGGGGGTAATGGCCCTGCCTGGCGCCCAAAAAGGGGGCACGACCCCGAATGACCTGCCGACCACTGTGCTAGATAATAAGAAGAGCTGTTCAGGCTGTTAGTTTTCCCAAACGACCGCGCCACAATCCACAGAGCGAGGTCTCGTACAGTAGGTATGGTCGGCAGTTGGACTCGGGGCCCAGGGGTAAATCATTCTCAGGATCATGTTCAGGTAGGTATGTCACATACCTAAGTTAGTTTAGCAGAATATGGATACCTATCTGTGAGGTCTTTTAAAAGGCTTCTCTCTCCCTCTCTCCCTCCCTCCCCCTATCTCTCTCTCTCTCT